GAGCGATTTGAAGTTTCCACTCGGCAGATTAACATTTTTGACCATAACCTTCATCTTATTCGTTACGTTACTTAAACACGACTTGTGTTGTTTACATTGACTTGAAAATTGTGTCTCAGCGAATGGAAAAAATGCTATGATGAATAGTTGAAAGGTTAGCAAACGTGTATAGACCATAAGAAGAATATTTTGAAAAACAATGAAGCAATTTTAAGCGACGAACTATTGTTTTTTCATTGTTAAGCTCTAAATATGCCATACAAATGGATGGAAAATTTTCAATCGACACTACAGCAGACGCATATAATCTTAAAATATTCTTTCCGGGAAGATTTGCAGCGAAACCTGCAAAATTCTTTAAGTATTCATGGGGAAAACATATATTTTCTTCATGCATCATTATACCCCGTACCGCTTATGACACAAACGTAAATTAATTTTGCGCGGATGTATGCAACACCCAGATACACTTGAGACAAATCTACCTTTCATTATACCGATCGTCCCAGAAAGTAATTCTAATTCAACCTATAGACCGCAACTTTTTAGATATATTGATGACATTTTGTCCACCGAAATGTATTGGCACAAATACGAACGCTATTGAAAATGGATCGCACCACTTTTTCAACCACATCCCATATAACGCCTTCTTTTGCAAAATCGTTATATGAATAAATTTATCGTGCTTAATAACGGGCCATGGCGAACAGATCCAGACCGATTTAGTATTTATACCCATATGTTTACATAAAATTATGAAATTTTCGATGAGATTTAGTATACCGCAGACAGAATAAAAAACTTTGGATTGTTACAAGCTTCGATTACTCTGGATAAATATCAATTTTTATGTTGTGAACTTATATCCTACCCGTCTGGGCCCGTTAATGGTATGCTTGTTATTTCAATTATTTAGTAAACTAAGACAGAGTTTAATCATTCTTAAAGCATAGGATTGCCCTGTTCGAACCGAATACACTGATCAAAAATGAGATGATGAAAGAACTCTTACATTGCATACATTTACCTACACTATCCTTTTCCTTTATCGGACATCTTCACTTAAACTAATTGGTACGCTTTAGCATGAAATTCCTTCCCCGTATGCTGCTTACTGAGATCACACTGCTACAACAACTAACAATATTTTTCTCGATTTCTTGCGATATACTTTTACTATAGAATAAATAGAGTTTCGACAACAATTCACATTTCGCACGATAACAAGTTTTTAATTATTAAACCAAAATATTAACAACTTGTCTAATATCTCTTTCACTTGGTCACCATGTATGCTAAATTAATTATTAAATTTTACGAGAACATTTTAAATTTTTGTAAGTATGCATTCCTTAATTTGCACATTTAATATTAATAAATGGCCGAACAGTTAAAAAGTCCGAATTTGTTTTGCAACGAATCTTGGATGCCCGCAGCCTGAATAGTCTTAAGTCCCATAACATACGATAGATAATTAGTTTGTTGCCGCACTTAGTTCCCCCTCCTCCATTACGAATAAAAAGTATACAAATGAAATTGTCGAAGTGTATAAATATATGAAGCTCAATTCGTTTTTAACGTTCAATGATTTTATGCGTTAATCAGAATCATATTAAATTTTGAACTTATTTAAACTTATGATGTTTACTTTGGGAAACACTGACGGCTTCAATTACAATTTTTAGTTTTATACGCAACTACTTATTACCAATGATTTCTTTATATATAATATATAATTGTGAAGAGTCCGAATTACAAATATGTCGTACAAGCAGTACAAAGTATAAAGGTAACATTGAAATTAGTATACCCACATCCTTTTATTCGAAAAATAAAAAAATTTTATTTAAACATATAATTTTAACTGTATGCACAATGCATACATGCTTGTATGAGCATATATATATATATATGTTTTTGTGCTTATGTTTGTGCAAGCGTTCTCCACCTATAAAGTAATAATAATTAGAATTTTTAGTTTTACATAATTTTCATACTAACGTTAGCAAAATACACAGATGCACATACAACTGTGTATTCAGCTCTCGTATTCAAAGTACAACGCATTTATTTGTATTATAAATGTACAACATATGACAATACACAAGGGTAGAGAAAATGTTGGAAAACATTTATTAAAATTCATAAAACTTTTGTGAAGCAATACATAACAACATATGGGTTGTACTGCATGTAACCTATATGCAGGACATATCAAAACGAATAGATAGATATTTTTTATACCGCGGAAGTATTTCAAGCTTGTTAAGTCGAAATGTGAACGAAATAAGGTATACAATACGAAAAAACTGTGAACGACACATATATTAGTTCTATTGTCTGCAATGTTATCGATTTGCAAAACTATTCTTTTGACATCGATATGATTTGTGCACGATACGGCATCGTCGCACTAATATTCTATTCCGTTACATAACGAATGAGACATGGGAAAAAATCAGGGACGGGGAATTTATAATAAAGAGTTATTGACCAACTACTACTTCCACTATATCAATATCAAACGAATACCTTTATCCAATTGGTGCTCCCACCATATGTCAATGTATATTGGTAACAGGCTGCTAAGTTAAAACAAGTAGACATTCTTCGGTAATGTTTTCAAGTACTTCATCATAACAGTAAATATGTGCAGCCAAGGTCTAGGCGCTTATTTTTGAAATATATCCGACTGCGTTATTCGATGAGAACCTGCCATGTTATTAATGCTATACTATTACTAACGAATAAAAAACGTCAATTCGTTTTGGGACAAAGTTTGTATGCACGTATTGTATGCATGTATTTTCAACAACTTTACAACTACCGGTTAAAAAATATGAATCAAGGGTGGTGGAAGTGCATGTGTACATATCTATGTTTATGAAAATACATGTTTATTTTATGAAACTATTTTATTAATTGGTTTATTCAAAGAATTGGTCATCGCTGGGTACAGATTTTTCCCGGCTGTTTAACAATCTGTAGATGCCATGCCAAAAACACTGTCGATCTTTTGAACGAGCCTTCTTCGTACATTTAAGGAGGCACTGAAGCGGTGCTCTGCGAATGTGTGTGTCACCGATGCAAACAGTTAGTAATCGGGTCGACTCGAGTTTGATCAATAAGCGGGATGGACTAACACTTTCCACTTGAGTACTTCCAACGCTTCGAGAACCGTTTTGTTGTGTGGATGGGTGGACAGATATCGTATAAAAAACCGTCTTGTTGTTGAATTCTTTAATATTTTACTCGTTTCCTGCACACCGCATTATTCAAATGGATTAATTGTCGTTGGGACGTTTACCATTAACCACTTCACCAGACTTCAACAGACTTTTAGTTCTACCAAACACACCAATACTATCTTCCCATCAAAGAGATTCATTCCCGTGGTTGATGCAAGCTATGCCTGGATCTATTCACGAATTTTTACGCGTTGGATTCTTAAGCGTAAGCTCTTTACTTGGCAAAAAACTCAACATAATTGTTGTTAGAAGTAGTATTATTGTATTGTTGTGTATAAGTATCATAACTACTTATTGTTGCTAATATTCCCTACTACAAAAAAAACAAGTAAGAAGCTTATATGCGACTAGAGACTAATCTCGCATAGCCACCACCGCTGAAATCTTTATCGCCCCATGCTCCTATTTATTGTCATACAAAAGTGCATGGGATGAAATTCTTTTTTCGCTTTTTAATTCACTAAAAGGGGTTTGTTAAGAAAATTTGACCCACCATGTCTCGACGTCCACCACAATTAATTCAATATTAAAACACTTGGCTTGTCGCATTCCGCACACCACGTTGTTTCATTTGATACCCACATCGCTGGTATTATTACGAAGAAATTAATTCACCAGGTTTTGGTGTCCCCCATATTTATTTTCAGGCAAATGATATATCGTGATTTGAGGAAGGTAGAAAATAGTTTTGTCTCGTTTACCTCATGATTAATAAGCAAAAATCTCAAAAAATTAAAAAAAACAAAATTTAATCATTTGTAATTTCGTGTTGTCATGGCCGATTTTCTCTATTTTTAAACATAAATACTAGAGTTTTACGTAAACTAAATGTGGAGAATTTCAGCCTTCTGGCTTCTGGCACAAATTTTTAGTTTAGAAAAAAGTAGTTGCGCTCAGCTTACGCTTCACTGCGAGTTTGTGCTTTAACCACTATGGGCCATTTTCAATATCAATCTGCTCGCAAAGACTTCCAATGTTTCTTCCAAATTTCAAATCGTTACCTTCATTTTTGTGATCAGGTGAGTGTCGACGACGCGCATCGCATATATATCAGATGGACAGACATCGCTTAAACAATTTGGAACTTCATGCTGATGAAGATGGAAATTTGGATATGTATGTGCTCTACACATGGTGTTAGGGCCATCTCTTGACAAATACCGTTTTCATATTTACCTGAATGGAATATTAATCAGCGTGAGGTTATGACACAATTTACTCGACCAAAATGCCTATTGCTACAAGTTTCGAAAAAAGTTGATATAGAAAACGGGAACTTGTTGCATAATCTTTTAATAAAATGTAGTGGGCTTTTATAAAGATAGACGTGATGCATCTATAATAACTAAGAAACTGAAAATTTTGACTTTAGTATCAATAAGTTATAAATTACTCCGACGTCGATTGAAAGTTTGCTATAAATATTTTTGAAGATCGTATTAAAATACAGATCAGCTTTATAAGAAAACTTGACAATTTTTATGCGTTGTCTAAACAGGAGAGTTATCCAAGAGTCGCCACACATACACGCAAGCAATTTTTTCACTTACTTCAATATGAAATTTATCGCAATATGTTAACCAACAAAAATATGTCTACGATTGTCCAGCGGGTACCATGTAAATGAAAGACTTTTTATTATAATTTAAATGAAATATTTACGTGTTACGTGAAAACTTATCCAAAACTATTATGACTTAAATGTCGTTTTTAAATTGATTAGAAATTCTTCTTAATATGACATTTTATTCAGTCGGTTTTTCTCTTCCGACCTACAGCATATGGTGGCATATCATTGGTTTTAACATAAAAAGTACCATTTTTAGGCATTGAAGGTTCACCACCCATACGAACGTCTTCGTCTTCATGGTATAAAATCCATGCGTGTTCTGAGACTTTTTCGCATTTAATGCCCCAGAAACCTAATTCGCTCGTTAGAGATTCGGCAAAGTAATGATAAGCTCTTCCATGAGAACAACCAAATTTATAGCAGTTCTTTTGACCTTTACCAAAATTCGGATAGAATGAAGCGTGTCCGATGTCTTGCTGAATGCCTAAGATATCACTTGTATGTATGACTTCGACATAAACGGCATCAGATTCGCTTAAACGTTGATTAGCATTTAAGTTACGAAATTTTGGACCGGCCGGATCCAAAGCAAATATGGTATTAATTCGTTGAGGTTTTAATTGTCGCCCAGCACTACCAGCTATATGGCATCCCATCGAATGACCGATCATATAAACATCCAACATATGTAAATTAGCTTTGAATTGAAGATAAAGTAAAAATTCCGCTAAATTAAGGCCTAATTTGTCAATCATATTCACAACACTGAAATAATTGATATTCGTCCCAACTGCAGTCCAGTCAACGATAATAATGTTAAAGTCTCTAGGTAAATTAGAACTAATTTCGCCTTCAAAGTGGAGAATTTCATTAGAATGTGTGAACCCATTCGGTTGAATTTTCGTCAAGTTCATATAAGCATTTTTAACGATGCGATTAAATGAACCATTGCTTGAAGTCAGCCAGCCATGTACGAGAATTCTGAAATAATAAAGTTTATATTTTAGATTAGAACAAAGATTATTTTATATTCTCTCTTATCACTTGCATCAAGCTAAGTTTGAAATTCATCTCCCCGTCATTTCCCCCTTTGGCTCAATACATTAAGGATACTTTAAGCAATGACATCTTAAATTAAGTGCCGCCAAATCATACAAATATAAGACTTGAAATGTATGAAATAATGATGAAGGATTTGGGCTATGCGCTAAATAATAGGTGTAACGGGCGAATCCGATCTCGTATTTATATGTTATGTACTAATTAGGAATAGGTGTCAATGAATTCTCCCCAAATTAAATATCACTTCTTTTTTACCATATAGATCCATATACATATTTTAATCTATGCGTAAAAAAATTGCTTCACAATGAAATGCACGATGAAACAAATTTAAACAAATTTTTATACCTATACAACACGGATTAACACGGGCTTTTCAAACACTTCAGAATCCAGTTTGCGTATACCATTACAATCCAACAATGGACCCTTAAGATATCTAATCCTTCGAACTGGGATTCTGAACAAAATCTTCCGGTCAAACTTATATTTTCTGAATGAAACAATCTTTCTAATATTTAAAGATGAGTTTTTAAAGCAGCTAACCCTACGGATATCTTGAAAAATACCAATAAAATATTTGGCCTTATAAGGGCTGCTAAACTAACCATCTAATCTACTTAAAGAAGAACCGATAGTCTTATTTCTCTGATCTAAAAAAATTGCAATATGGGATGCTTGCGTGTATTTAGGTCATTTTTTCACTTGAATAAGGCACTTATTGAGAAAAAATCGTCTTTCTGGCAACAGGGCGATACCGAATCGAAAACGCGATATTATTTTCGAATTTGTTCAGCATTTCGAAACCGCATTCCAGCCAAACCATACTGCACCGATCTGAACATGTGGTAATCACAAGGCGCAATGTCTACTGAGTACGCTGGATGCTGAAGAACATCCCATTCAAGCTGCAACACTCCGTCCTTTACAACTCTTGCAATATGTAGGCGAGCGTTGTCATGCAAGAGAACAAACTGACGTCTCTTAACCGCAATTACTGATTTTTTTGCAGCAATGCATCGTTCAATTTGTTCAAGTGATGTCGATAGACGTCTGCAGTAACAGTTTCATTAGCTTTTAGCAGCTCGTAACATACTACATCTTATGAATATGAATATTTGGTATGAATATTTCGCTCCTGTGTCGATATGGAATGTCTCTCCTAGACTAACCCATGATTTTTTGCGCTTGGTATTGTTATAGTAAATCCACTTTTCATCACCAGTCGCAATACGCCACAGAAAACGATGTTACGGTTCGAAATTACATTTTCAGTCAATTTGCACTTTCATCGTTTAGGATCCTTCCCATGGTGATGAGTTTGTCCTCGCTGGTATAATGAAAAAGACATGCACCTCAAACGCTGCATCCTTCCAATGATGGATCATTGAATAAAATAGAAACAACTTAACTCCACTGGCAATTCCTTGCTTATGCTTATGCTTCCAAAGCAAGTTACGGATATTCGTGCATATTGAATTTGCACTTTTACTCGTTGTTAAGGGTAAGTTTATTAATCATCTATTGCATAAGGGTATGTTCATTAATCATCAATTGCATAATGTACTTTTATTTTGTAACCTCAACATAGAAAATATTGGCAATCATTATTTGCCCTCGTAACCTTTTGGAAACTCCATTGTCAACTAACTAGTAAAATGTGCGATTTTCTTCAAAAAGCTTCACTTTAAGAGGGTTTCTTTGTAAGTACACAAACAAAACATTGAAACATTTAACTTGGATGATGGGTATCTAAGATTTGGTCAGAATCGAATAAAGGTAAATTATTCAATATAACTGTTGCTGGAAAATGGAGGTTTGGTAAGTTGTCCAGACACTTTTGAGCGAGAATTTGGAAAGATTCACTTTGCGAAAGCGCCGCAATTACTTCGCTTTGTTTTACGCAACTTATTCTTCCGTTCTCTCTTATCTTTCATCTTCTACTCTTTTGATCTTCTTGGATAAAAGGAATTAAAAACGAAAAAAAGAAATGAAGCTGATCACGACAAATCCGCGCAATTCCCTTTGGAAGAACACGAAGATATCGAAACTTGTTACTGGCTTGTCAAAGATGACATTTTTTGATATCAGAAATTAAAGCATATCATAGATTAGTTCCCTATATGGGCGGGCACGGTGGTAAACAAAAGAGATTATAGGAAAAATGGGGTCAAGAATAAAAAAATTTCAATATAATAGAATAATCATTTAATTGACTGCAATTAGATATACATGTCAAGATATTACACAACCGGAAAATAAGATTATAGGAGCATTTTGGGAGAATCATTTAGCCTTTAACTCTAAGAAATATACATAACAAAATTAAAGCTCTAGCCACGTCTGTCCTAACCGTACTCATTCCGACTCCCACAAATAAAATAAAAAATGCGGTACTCTAATATTGGTACGCTATTTTAGAATATCATACGTAATAAAATTACAACACTGTGCTAAAGAAATCACGAGATCACAACACTGTGTTAAAGAAATCAAGAGACATTGCAGATCAACGAAAACTTTTTTGATACAAACGGAGTTTGCAGCCAGATGAAGAAGACTAAAGCCTGTTTTGTAGGAAAGAAATACTTGCTCGAAGTCGTAGCAGGTGAACTCGAAGTTTGTGAAAAGAGATCATTTCGAGCTAAAAAATTAGAAAATAATTATTGTAGCGTACGAAAGAAGCGTGACGCAAAAGTCAAGAACAGTACTCCCATCATTTTGGACCTTTCTAACTAATAGATTCACGCCAGCAATTATTTAACATTCCGGAAAAAAATAATTCTGAACAGTACGATAAGCGAAGAAAAACAGCTGACACGATGTTCACTTTTGATTTGCTTTGATGAGTTTTTTTTGGCTTGAGTTTCATTCGATTTTTCCGGCTATTGTGGGCCGCAATTGTCCATATGAAGTCGTCGTCGCAGTCGCCGTTAAGCATCTTGAAATAGGACTTTGTTTTTCAAAGAAATTAGGCGATTCCGGAAAAAGACAGAAAAGTAAAAAAGATGGTCGTCATATCGTTCTTTGAAATTCACTGAATTCTTCCAATACTTATTCCAACTATATCTGCTAGGTCTCTTCAAAATTGCATTCCCTTAACACAAGTTGATACGAATTACGAGAATAATTATACAACGATCAATACAACAACAATAATTACGATCAACAATTATAAACGTATATAGAATAGGCACAAATTCTTCTATTTTCGAAATAAAAGTTCTTGCAGTAGAGGCATGTGGTCGTTGTAGGCGCGGCCTTTAAGTTAAGGTCAATTCCAAATTCTTTTGCAATTTTTTAAGAGATATCTTCATTTTCGCTAACGGGAGCATGTTTACCGCAAATACTACAAAGTTGCGCAAACAGACAGATGGACAGGCGGACATTCGAGAGTTGAAACTGACCAAGTATCTGTATACTGATACACCATAATTTCATAGGATAAGCGTGGTAAATTTTTTCCATTTTTGTGCACAGATGCTACAGCATCGCCCATAGAATATGCATTTATTTACTATAGCTTATGAGTAATGAGCAGAAAAGCAATTTTTCATTCTCTTTGAAAAATGATGGTATTCTCAGTTTATGTGGTACTGTGGGCTTGCCCTTCGGCCGATTTGCACATATTCAATACCAACCTGCCCCGAAGAACTTCCAATGTCTCTGCCAAATTTGAAGTCAGTAGCTTCATTTTTGCGATCAAGAGAATGTTTACAACAGACATCACACAGGCGGACACGCTTAATTCGATTTAGAATTTGATGGTGATCAAGAATATATATATACTTTGAGGGGTCTCTGATGCTACTGGACGATGCAAACGTCTACGATAAAACGTCTCATGATGGATATAAGAAATTCTGTAACGTAATAATAGGAAATGTGTATATATTATAAATATATACAGTATGTATATATCTAAACATATACATATAAATATATACGTATAATAAACAATGTAACGTAATAATAGAAAATATGTATATGTATATATGAACTGAGTGACTAGATATTTCTGTTGATTACAGAAAAAAAATTCCTACTTATTTTTAAACATGTAGTGCATTTTTAATAACTATTTCCTATAAACTCCAGAACCAATCTAATGAGAAAAAAGTAGTGTGTTCGTTCGTTCAGTGTGGATACATTAAGTCAAAAAGAAATATATCTCTGGCTTACTACTCACCGTGTCGGATGTTCAGCATTAAATCCAGATAAATGTATGCTTTCATCATCATCGATGCGTATCTCACGAGCACAATCAGGAAAATCTCGTTTATATAAAAAAAAACGCATTCGAACACGGTCATTACTCAAAAATGGCAGAAAATGTCGAAATAATTTTTTTAAAAACGAAAAATAAGTTGTATTAGCTTTTAGAGTATGATCACAAGCAAGAGAGGCTGGCAAAGCGTAAGCGTCTAAAGATATTGAAACAACATTTTTCTTAAAACAAATGGACGAAAACTTGATAGCAAGAAAGTATGATTCTTACGCCCAGTACCAAAGCATCACATCTAGTATATTGAGAAAAGGTTTGGATGGCTCCGTCTTAAAGGTAATAAATATTTTTGGCTAATCGTAAGCACAATTCCACTTAGCTGTTTGATGCAAATGTCGTAATGAAATTTTAAAGGTTCTCACAGCCTCTAAGCGCAATGATATTTCACGATCTTTTCTAATCTACAAATTTTCACAAATTTTGCAAAATTTGCGAGCACAAGCCGGAATTCGTAAGTGTGCAGTTTCTCCATTATTACCTCAATTGTACAAATCGTAAAAGATTTTTTACATACACGTACATAGAGGACAAACACACTGACATAACCAAATCTTTTCACTTTCTGAGATACGTGATGCATTGATGAATAAAGATAAATATTTTCTATTCATCTCATGAAGAGATTTTTCTAACGTTACTAACGAAATAATTATCGTAGAACTTAGAAAGTATTCTGAACTAATTTGAGCGGTGGCATAAACATAGAAACGGCCCTTCGGATGAAATCGCATTAACGACTTTAAAAGTTTGTCAGGGAGGGGAAGTTTTGTTTGCCTACCATTAACAATACAGAAGTAATTTTTCCATTTTTATCAAATTATGACTTCAAAATTATAGTCACATAGCTTTGCGTAGTTAAATCCTGTGGTCAAGTTTACTGGGAGGGGGACTAACTATTTGCAACATATAAGCAATTTTTTATATTGGATACTTATTAAGATGGTAGTACGAGTTATGCGATACATAATAGGTTATGGATCAAAAATACGCATGTTAATGACAAATCTAACATTCTTTTTTTCTTAGTCTTAGAATTTATTTCTCTGGCGAAATTAATAATAATAATAATAATAACTTTTTTTATTTTTAGCTTAAATAAAATCGAATATTTTCATATTATGTTTTGGTGACCATAACATTCTTAGATTTAAATAAGAGCTGTCTGTCTACCAGCCGCCAACTGATACCTAAACAATTAAAGAACCTAAAGAAAAACCAAATCTCGTAAAAATATGCATTAATAATTTAAAAGCCGTAGAAGAAGTCGGTTTGATATTTGATACATGCACTTGAAGGAGCCACTCAGCGACGCATTGCAAAATTTTTGCAATTATTTAATCGACACCCTCGCAATAAATGAAATAAATTTGCGGTTATTTGAGTGGTTTTGAAATTTGTCTCCAAAGTGATCAGGGTGCCACATTAAATACCCTACACTGCCCTACAGTTATTCACATAACGGGTTGTCAAATATGAGATGGGGTCGAAAAAGTGGTCCAACCACAACAACTGTCAATGTCCTTCGGCCTTGGACCAAAACATGCCGGTGCATTTAAATTTCATCAATTCGATCTGTAGGGTGAACTCATGAAAAGATGGCGAAGGAGCTTAAATCGATTCAAAAAGTGATTATCAATCAATCGATGTAATAAAAGGTGGATGTATCTTCAGGCCTTCTACGTGCTGTATAGATCCGCACAAACTTGCTATAACCTTGTACTACAAATGATGCAGTGACGAGTATAAGAGGGAAAAATTGAAGGACATTTTTAATACGAAATGAATATTTTAAAGCTTAAATGATTCTATTGATCAAGCAGTGGATATTTCTATGCATATATCTATGCACTGTAAACATATATTTTGACCATGCATTATCAATGTCCAAGTTCATAATTTCCACAATAATGAAGCCACTTTTTCATCTACTGGCAGAAGCATAAAGAATCAATGACTCGACTAAAACTGAAGATAATTTTTCTAAGCCGCTTTGGTAACGGGCTTTCAAGGTTCACCTTTTAAAGAGTAAATATATATAGATAGATGATATGTAGATATGTTATAATTTTAAATCAAACCATTTAATAAGCTAATGCTTAATGTCAAGAACAATAAAATTATTTTGAAAAAATTATTTAAGCACATTTTCATTAACAACACAGTTAGTTTTGATTTTTATAGTTTTGTTTTTATTGATTTTGTTTCGCTTCTTTTCGCAAATTTTTTAAAAGCAAAAACAATGAAATAATATAATAAACTGAGAACCCGCGTAATAGCGAGTAATCAAGGCACTGATTTAATGCTACTTTTTTCTGCAAAAATCCAACCAGTCTGGGAAATAAACAGCAGCAACTAATCAACCAGTCAGTCTGTTAGTCCATAGTAGCAACTTCATTATTTCTATAACTACCACCGAATGTAGGCGGTATGCTATGTTTGTTATTCTTCTTATAGCATATAAGTTCTGGTATAAAAGATCTTAGATAAAACGTAAGCACTTTCGATGCGTTTACGCCAGTAAGTCGATTCCATCTGTCGATCTACCCGTCCAATCTGGTCTGGAGCTACCGCAATCGCAGTTCGGAAAAGATTGGTTTTACGATGAAATCATAATCACGCCTACAATGGGCAAAGTCTATAACTTTTACTTTATAAGTAAACTTGATTGAAAACTATTCGACAAGTAATCCCCACAAACAAACTAACACGCCCACATTTGATAAATAATTCTGCGATTCTGTATCGATGCTTACAACTACTGGATAACCATCGAACGCTCCCGGGGAATACAACTTTCTTAGCTTTCTAGCTTTTATGCTCAGTTTATTGAGCTTTGAGCGTTGGCAATGGGTCATCGTACCTACCAATGAAGACTTAATATCCACATATAATCTAATAATCGAATAAGCTTAGCGTTATATTCGGATTCAAATTTCAATTTAGAGTTATTTGTTGTATTTTCGTTGTTATCTCTTCGTACGCTGTCCTTGGTTCGGAAGTGCGTTGAAATGTTACATGTTAAAACATTCGCTCTAAACCGTTATTTTATTGTACTTATTTTCTGCTTTTTTCTCTTGTTCTCTTCCTTGCTATATATAAACCATAATTCCCCGTCGACGAGAATAAAAGAAATTGTAGCAAAATGAGCGTAACTTCAATGATACTGGTCTACGTAATATCTTTGCACAATTTCTGTTTTAATTAACCTTATCTATAAGATAATCTTTAAAAACAATAGAATGATTTTAATTATTATGATAAATTACAATAAAGAAGGCATGTGCTAACTACTGATGGCCTTTTATTATTCCTGGTGAAGAATGATGCAAATCGAAAAGAAATTCTAATACGCAGAAATTTGTTCGCAGAGTACTTTAAGGCACCACCAAAAAGTACAATTTTGTTAACCGTGCATTGATGGAATTCGTTGTAAGAAAGAGCGCTAAGAGAAAAGTAAATTCTTGGTGACATGTGATAATTATTAGGGTATCTGACTCTCTTCAAAGCCAAGTAAGTCGATCAATTGCAGTAAAATCGCGAAACCCAATATTCCGAACGTTCAATTAATACAGTTGCAGAACAAATGTGTTGTTCATGCCAAAAGGCACCTAAATTGAAAGGGTTATGAAAGAATATTTAAAGAAGGTGCGGGCTTCAGAAACCTGTAAAGAAGTGTGCTGGCGCTTTTACTCCATTTTTCTTAAAATTATTTTGTAATAAATTTTGCTAACCACTTGTGGCTTTAATAATACTAATCACTTTTAACTCTGTCCCTTACCAAAACAGGATCCAGAATGTTGAAAAATCATCTGGAATCCGGAAAATTTATTTAATAATTAAACTATTTTTTACACAAGCATATGTTGGCTTTATGTGGGTTTATGCACCCATCTTTTATTATACCAAACTCTGCCTCTTTGCCTTGTTTTGTTGTGTTCAACCTATAGGCCATCATTTTTGAAATAATCTGGTCAAAATCTCGTGCACCCAATGACAAAGAGTATTGGAAACGGTTCAGACTGAATTATGTTTATACGATGATTTTCGAAAACTAACTTTCTAAGTTGCAAAAATCTTCTATACGCTATGATCCGTAACATTATATTGCATTGTTCCAATATTACACATATAGGTTCCGACTACCTCAGTGCAATTTTATCTTATTTTTTGTTTCATTTCAATTGTATTGCTCAAAAATCTCTTACCCTGACACATTTATCAAATTACTAGCAGTAAAAGTATGTCATTTTCCTTCAGTCTTTCTTCCTTTATGGGAATGCGGGTTAAATTATTAACCGAGAGCTTATTTCAGACAACTGATTACTGTAGACGTCTTCGGGTTTGTTTACAAAAAAAAAACGAGTGAAAACACTTCGGTGGAACGCGGCGCATCATTATATGCCCAGAAGCATTTCGTTTAATACAGTTGTTCTTATAACGACTTCCCGGTGTAGGAGTTGAGAGGGGGCGTTGTCGAAAAGACGACCTATTGAATATACACAAGAAAACAAAGCAGACCATACAGACAGGCGGACAGACAAGCTTAAATCAATGCAAAAATGCTTCTGCATTGATGGGTATAATAAGGAGTGGGTCTATCTCAGGTACTTCTGGGTATCGCATACATCTGCCAAGCTTAAAACCCTTTCACCGGAAATGGTGGTAAGCCAGGAAAAAGGAAAACTTTGAAAAATCTTGTCCGTTTGTTTCGGTTTGTTCCGATTGATTTAAGAGGGAAGAAATTGATTTTATAATACGGTAAATACAGTCCTTCATAAGCTGTGTTAAAGTTAATTAGTTAATCCATTTAAACATGGTAATCTACTTTCACAATATTGTGCAAGATCTAATCTAAATTTAAAAATCGTTATTTGTTCATAAGCTGCTTTAAACTATACTTGCATTAGTTAACACCACGTGCACCTCGATTGAATCAATAGACAACAAGTTACCTAATGGATTTGATTTGATCAAATATTTTGAATCGATAGAATGCAAAAAGCCGGCAGAAAATGCTTGACATGGCAGAAGAAAAGAATTCACTTTTCAGTAAACTTCGCAGGAGTAGTTGAATCTTCATTTGTCTTGAAATCTTCAATAAATTTTAAAGGGCAAAGGCATTCCCCAGCCAGTAAAATATCCTCACAGTTGCAAACAATCTTCACAATAAGAAAGTGGGTTACGTTGTTATTGAGCTAAAAAGGAAGCTTATTGAACAGCCAATGCGTGTTGACTCACATATCGCAACCAAGCCGCGAATTGGATGAATAACTGGCAGCATTTAAAAATGCGAGGAAAAAAAATTTTTTTTTTTTTATAAAAACAAAAACAAAATCATCTATTACATGCACCCACTTATTCATAGTTCTAGTCGAATAGATCAAATTAGAAAGTCTCATACAAAAAGCACCACTTTTTAGCATTTTTTTGTATGAAATTTTATGCTTCTTCATCTATTCGATTAGATTTATTCAAAATTACATAAAAATTTTACACAAGCTTAAAATTATATTAGCATAAACAATTACGTAGATAAATGACATATATACTTTTCCTATAATATTGCTTGCAGTAACGATAGCATCATGTAAATGTTTAACCCAAATGAGTGAAGTGGTATTATTCCTGGAATAAAGAGAACATCTTCATTAACTTTCGGAGTTTCGTTTAAGCTCTTTAGTTTTATTTGTTGAGACTAGGACTCTCTTGCCAATCAGCTTCCTCTTCTCAATCTCCCCTATCGTACTATGTCTTAATCTTTCTATATATTCTAGGTTTGCCACTTTTCAATTTTTTTAAAGTCGACAATTCAATCTATGTCATTGCCTGATATATAATTAGAGACTTACACACCTGCCTAAGAGTGTACCCAAGTGAGAAAAAATTAACTTGAGCTATTAATGGAATAATTTTCGTAAAAACTCATACACATAGCTAAAAGCCAATACTTTGGGAATGAACTGTTATTGGTTTATTTCATTTAAAGCGATTTAAAGAATTAGTTTGTGTTCTTTTTGATGAGAACCATTTTGTTTAACGAAAACGTTTGTAAAGTATCGATGCTGTTGAATAGTTTATGCCAAAAAAGAAGCTTCTATGTAAACCCTGAAAAAATTTCAAACCTGATGCACTTTCAACGACCCGTATGTCACATAGAAATGAACGTAAGTCAGTTTTTTCATCCAACTCTTTGTTGGGCATAACGTAGGCTTCCATATAGGGCAAGCCACCAGGCAATTTCGATTCTATTGTTATGACTTTAAAATAATGTGTTGGTACTGCTATGGTTTTGGCACCAAACACTTCATATTCCACATACCATTTGTCAGCATCGCTTTTACGCGGCAAATATAATGGGCCGGTGCACACAAACACCGAACCATAACGTTTGCATAAATCTCGAACATAGGCTTCGAGTTTTTGCCAACAACCACGATTAAAACCTTCACCCACTTGCGGGGCAATGTTTGTGAAATAAAACGTGTCGTTGCAGTACGATTGCTTGCTTTTGTGATTACCGGAAGCTGCTAGATGGCCTTTATCGTAACCACTGTCTTTATAATCCGTTGTATCCACACGAAAATCGGAGGGTATACCTAAATCAGCCTTATATTCTGCCATACGTCGACTACCGGTAGTATTGAATATGGAGGAAGTCTGCAAATGTTCATAGACCCAATGCGCAACACGATTACGGCGATCGTATGATATTACAAAATCATCATAGACCCGCAAATCTTCCATACCTGGAAAACCATATTTCATTACTCTGGGCAAACATGAACAAGTCTTATTGGCCTTTAGTCGGACAACACTGTTCTTAAAGAAGCGTAGCTAAAAGATTTAAAAAAAAAGATACATATTTACTAAATTCAAGAAAGCCGTGTTTCGCTAAGTTTTGCTATACACCCACCGTCCCGTATAGTTTATCCTTGATGTAAAAAGCGTAAGGATCGTCATTTATTACATAGCACAACTGACGTAAAATATCATAATGCTGGTAATAGGCTCCCAAAGTAAACGATATAACGGCCGTAATCAACATGCAATGAAGGGTCCGCCCAATCCCCGCCATTCCGTTATTTTCCCAAAAAAAAAAAAAAAAAAAATCTAAAACTTTTCAATTTTTTTTATTTTCCTTTTAACAAAAAATTTTTGAACAAAAAATTTTTCAATATTTACAAACAATTTTCAATTGCAACGGAAAACTACATGTAAAGCACACATAAAATGATATGTATCTCTAAGACTACACGTTACAAATTATACAAGAATTATAATTCAATCGTTTAACGACGATTGAATCATTAAACTCTTTCCTATCGAAATTAACAATTCATCGGTGGTTTGCTGATTTTGAAAGACGTTATTATATTGGTGATCCCGCGCACAGTGCACGCCCAGAAGAGGAATTTGAATACTCAAGAAAAAGACCTTAAAATCTATTCTCGATAATCGAAAAGTGAAGTCGGAAGAGACGGCTGACTTCCTAAAGATATCCATTAGTGTCTTCACTATTTAAAATTTTGGGCATGCGAAATTCCACAGTGGAACGAAAGCCCAATTAAATAAATTCAAGTTCGAATCGCTCCTCCACCCGCCGTACTCCTCAGAACTTGCTCCTATCCAATATTATTTATACGCGAATCCCAAAATGATGTTCCATGAAAAAAGACTAATGAAATGATAGGGTCATTGCGGGAACTGAAGCGTATTTTGAGTGCCTTGGGAAACTTTTCCGTAAAAAAGGCTGAGAGACGTTGTACTGATAAACCTTTTGAAGGAGGGTATTTCAATGAATAAAGCTGACTTTTGCAGAAAGAAATGTTTTTTTCTAATAATTCCTAGGTCTTTGGCCAATTTGTCCCGCTTTTGAATGAGAAATTCGCCTAACTTAAACTTAAAGTCGAACTAAATTGATTGTTAAAAGTAAATTTTATCTGCTTATTGCGACTAAATTCTTATAGAAGATAGCAAAAAAGAAAAAAAGATAAAGAAAGATGAAAAACAAAATTTATGTATAAATGAACAGAAGAAAAAAAAAGCATGTACACATCTAGCACAGACGACACTCCAAACCAGGGTGTAGACCCGAATTGAGACTGAATCCCTAAACCATTGCAAACGGACAGCAGCTTGGCAACCTCCAATATTTCTACTATATGCGAAGCCGATATGCTAATTTTTGTGTTTACCACACGCAAATAAACTGAGGGACAGACAGATGTGTAGATTGGCGGACTGACGAATATACATAGATCGATTCAGTATTTTATACTGCTCATGAACATATATACATATATATATATTTGAAACTTCTTGGTAGATGCTGCAAATGTTTTGATATAAAAACGAAATCTCGATACTCCACGCTATGGACAGTTGATATTTTCTTATTTTCTGTATTCGTACAGTAAATTACCTATTAAGTATATGTGAAAATTTTTATAAGTAACAAGGAAAAATTTTTATAAGTAACAAGGAAAAATTTTTATAAGTACAAGTCTATGAATCACGTTGACGGTCCGTTATTTTTTAAGTAAGACCTAGAACTGCTACGAAGAAAACACACTGAGCCATCACTGCTTTTTGAAGCATCAAAATTGGAGATGGAAACATTGATGATAATAACACATAAAAATTCAAGCTTACTCCTCACTATCGTGCCGAAATCTCCCCTCAATTTTTTTAAAAAATGCACGTGCACACATATACAGTAACACATAGAGTTGCCTGCCACGGTTTATAAATATTAATGGTAAAAATAAAATTCAAGGATATACATATTTACATTGAAAGAATCTTTATTTCCTCTTCTTTATTTTTTAACATACATGGGCGTATTTGTGCTTACTTGTGTACATAAAACCCAAATAGCTAGCCAAATCTGAAAGTCATCGCATGTTTTTGTTTCTCTGTTGGTTTCGCATCTCGTATTTAGCATTTTTTGATGATTGGCCGTTTTTGGAATCACCTAGGCACAACAGCTGTTAAATACAGCCTCGTATACTTCTCATACGCGAAGGCAAAAGAGCTTACGTTCGGCATTGGCATTGATAGTGTTGAGTTAGTATTGGTTGTTTAGGGTTGCATTTATAAGAACAAAACCGTTGTAAATTGAGAACAAAATAAACTCCCTGCTTTTGCTGGCAAACAAGTGAGTCAAAATAAGGAATTAAACCAAAGTAATTGACAAACAATTTATTGACGAAAAAAGTTGAATTATGTGACGTAGAAGGACTTTGTAGGGTGCTTCAATCGCCGTACATTACCAGAAAATGTGCACTCGTTTGAATGTATATATAATAAATATATGTATTCATTTATATTTTTGAGTATAAATTTCGCGCGGTGCGGTTTTGTTTTATAAAGAAATATGATTATGTGCTTCTGCTATATATTATTCGCTTTTATTAAATAATGACAAGTAACAAGTCTTTTATGTTTTAATGTACATTTATTGTTCATGTTTGCCGATTATTTCTCACACATTCAGTTAAACTAAAACCACTATCAACTTGAACACAGCTTAAGAATTCTTGTATATCTATAATATAGTAAACTCTTTAGACCGAGTAACAATAAATTCACGCGATTAAGTTCTCGTTTTAATCGTAATCACCATTCGATTTTCATGTTGCATTTAAATTTCCCTACCGGGACATAAGTAAAGAGCATATCATTATCATTGTGGTGGCGAGATAAACGCACGCGAAAACAAAAAGGTGTAGATCTACTGGTTCATGAAATCTTATATTTGTTACCTTAACCAATTTAACAAATGCACGAAAAACTCACTCTACACACACTACACATTCTTTTCTTGCAATTATATGGTAAATTTCTTCCGTACGCAGTCTTTTTTCATTTGATATAAATTGCCATTTTTTTCATTTTGTAAAAGCTATATAAAATATGTAAGTAGTAAACGTATAATCGATGTTTGAAAATTTATTTGTGTTTTTTTCCTAATTTGTGCACAAAATATTATTTGTTTAATTATGAAAGTTGTCTTTTTTTGGATTTGGAAAGGCGCGATTAAATATAAGCAAAACTTTTTCTTTTTTCTGCCTCTTTATTTACATATGAATGATAGAAAAAAATTGATACGAAAGTCTTCCGCGATTAGGAGAAAAACGTGCATCAGCTATCGGTTTGGTCGCGCACGAGAGTTAACTTTCAGATACATGATTATCCCCCAAATTGTTGATGTTACAATAACAGTGACATCCATAAGTGCTTTGCGGAAGCAAGGATTTCACACCTGGGAATACTTTTTAAGAATGATTGATTGTCTTTACACAACTACAAAGTAGAACTGATCTAATGTAAGCAAGAGAAGAACTTGACAACTAATTTCCCAATTAGGCGACATAAATTTCTGCTTTCTGGTAGCTCTGCTGGTACGTGGCGAAAATGTCAAAAAACAAAGAAAATAAAAAAAAAAGAGAATTAACAAAAAATTATGCGAAACTAGGCTGCTCTGACGTGGAAGTGCAATTTTTTTATCTGTACAAAAAAAAAAAATTGAATTTCTATACTAATTTTTTTAGGAAGACATATTCGGGAATAAAACATTATAAATTTCATAAATGTACGCGGATTTATGTGATTAGCAAATAGCTGCCAGTGAAAAATTGTTGAAAAGATTTGTGTGGATAGATGTGTTGAAAAATTTCTTAATTGCTCGGTGTACTGTCTGTTACTTGTGTGTGTTTACGTGTTCGTTTGATAACGAAAAAAGTTTGATCGCTTCTTTTGTTTTATCTAAAATAAAATCGAAAAGTTTTCAAAGGAAAAACAAAAAATAATGATGAATCCAAATGCTTACGGACCACCGCCAGCAATGCAACCAACACAACAAATGATGCCCGGAGTGCCTGGGGGCCAGCAATCAATTCCACAGCAACAATATCCTGGATGGTCTTCTCAAGGACCTGTGCAAGGGTCGCCCGCTGTTCCGCCTAGCGGCTCCGTTCCAAGCAATGTACCGTTATCTTCAATTCCCCAAACAGGAATTGCTACGCGTAATGTATTGAATGGCAACTATCAGCAGCAGGTAGGAATAAACTAACTAAAACGGATTTTTCCGACCCAATTAGTATATTACTTTTTAATAAACACACCAAGGATGTATTTATGAAGCTAATAGCCACGAATAGTCTTTAAAAGTAGCAATAGAGAAGTAAAAAATACTACCAAGTGAATTTACACCTAACCATTTTTCAACCCCTAGATCCTTTTATGCCTAAAAATCACGGTAAAGCCTGAGGAACTGATATTCTTGATAATTTTCTACAGATTAAATTTAATATCAGCTTGCTTGGTAGATATGAGACGCCTCAACGTTAAATCGTGCTTGTAAACCAAGCAGTTACGTCTTCTAAGCACCTGTCGATGGAATTTTAGTTTTTTCATTTATTAGAATTTAGAATAAAAGACTAGGGTCTACATTGTAAAACAGTCAGAAAGGTTTTGGTGAGACTTGCAAAAAAACCTATTTTTAATACATTTTTAACTTTGACCAGACGAAAGCAATGTAAGAGTTCATATTCTCTTTGTTTTTTTTTTCTTTTTAATAATGTTTACTGTCTACATTAGTTAACTCAATCCATGGGTGCGATGACCGTTAACCCTGTGAAACAACCCCCGTTGCTGCAACAGCAAGCACTGAGTGGGCCTCCAACTTCAGTTAATAATACATTTAACAATGCTAATGTCGGTGTGACTTCGAGTGTTCCCCATATAACACCTAATACAAATGGACCGCCAATGTACACACAGCCGTTATCCCAACAGCATATGCAATCAAGGCAACCGCAAAATACGCCACCAATGGTCAATAACAATTATGTTCCTTATCCTAATGGTGTCTCTCCCAGTCAAGCACCCACAACCAACCTGATTATGCCGCCAACAGCTTCTTCTGCTAGTGGAGTAGCACCTCCACCGATAATTCCCGTTCAGAGTGTTGTAGGCGGACCAAATCAAATGTCGGTGAAAAGCAACAGTCTACCAGACATGCCACACATGCCACCACCGGTACAAAAGCCAACAGTGAGCTACTTAAGTCGATATCGTTTGCTTTTTAAATAAATTTTTAAAAAACATTTTAGCAAACGCCAGCGTTTATGCCGCCTGTTACTGGTCAACCAACTCAAATGAGTGGCTTCACAGGCATGCAACAAAGTGTCCAACCAACAACGATGGGACAGTACAATACACAACCACATGCCCAAATCTCTGCAAGGCCCAGTCAACCACTCATGATGCCACCTAGCATGACGGGAGCAGCGCAACAGAATCAAGCAGCTGTGCCTGGACAGATGATGATGCCTGGCTATCCACAACAGTCTCAACAAACCCCTACTGGGTATCCAACACAAGCGATGGCACCGCCACCACCACCACAATCTGGACAGCAAGTTCCCGGTAGACCTGGTTTCCACGTAGGATAATTAACATATTGAACTTAGAAATGTTGAAACATATTTTGTAATTTTAGCAATTGCCAACTCCAGCTACTGGCATGTATCAACCTCCACCCCAGCCTTACCAGCAAGCACGCCGTCTAGATCCCGACCAAATGCCGAACCCAATACAAGTAATGATTGAAAACCAACGTAACGCTGGTGGACCCTTTGTTACTAATCAAGCGGGCCTTCTGCCTCCTCTGGTGACAACAAAATACGTAGTGCAAGATCAAGGCAATTCTTCACCTAGATTTGTAAGGTAAATAATTAATTAATATTTTGATTGCACATTGTTTGCAAGTATGTAAATACTTTATTCCGCCATTTAGATCGTCGTTGTATTGCATACCTTCCACGGCGGATCTGCTAAAGACTACAGCTTTGCCTTTTGCTTTAATTATATCACCATACGCTCGTATCATTGAGGGTGAATACGAACCACCTATTGTAGATTTTGGTGTGTTAGGTCCTATACGTTGCAATCGCTGTAAAGCATATATGTCGCCCAATATGCAATTTGTTGATGCTGGACGTCGTTTTCAGTGTCTAATGTGCAAGGTATCCACGGAAGGTTAGTTATTGTTTACTTGAGTTGATGCAAAAACCATTAATTTTGTAATACATTTCAGTGCCTACCGAATATTTTCAACATTTAGATCATACAGGACAAAGAGTGGATAGATTCGAACGCCCTGAATTGGTTTTGGGTGCTTATGAATTTTTGGCTACGAAAGATTATTGTCGTGTATGTTGAGTGATGTTTTAATTTTTGATTTGATAGATTTTTCGTAACCGTTCCCGTATTTCGCTTTAGAATAATGAATCGCCAGAAATTCCAGCCTTTATTTTTGTTATAGATGTTTCTTACAATACCATGAAATCCGGCTTAGTTCATTTGTTGTGCTCGCAAATTAAACGTATTTTAAAGCATTTGCCTATCGATCAAGGTCAACATAAATCAAAAATGCGTGTCGGTTTCATAACTTTCAATAGTACTGTACATTTTTATAACATCAAAAGCAACCTAGCGCAACCACAAATGATGGTGGTAGGCGACGTTCAAGTAAATGTAACCGTGACAAAAAATACGAACTGGTAGGCTTATCAATATAATTTCAGGACATGTTTATGCCTTTACTGGATGGGTTTCTTTGCGATCCTGAAGAATCGGAAACTCTTATCGATGCTCTTATGGAACAAATACCAAAAATGTTTTTGGATACTAAAGAGACGGAAACCATACTGTATCCTGCTATTCAGGCAGGTATGGAAGCTCTAAAGGCTTCCAATTGTTGCGGTAAATTGTTGATCTTTAACTCAACTCTACCTATTGCGGATGCTCCTGGTAAACTTAAAAATCGCGACGATCGCAAATTGTTGGGCACTGATAAAGAGAAAACGGTTTTGACACCACAATGTCAAAATTACAATCAATTAGGTCAGGAGTGTGTACAAAATGGTTGCTCAGTGGACATGTTTTTATTTAACAACGCATATATTGATATTGCTACTATTGGACAAGTGGCTCGGCTGTCAGGTGGTGAAATTTATAAATACACCTACTTCCAGGTAACATGACGACTCTTTGAAATGTTTTCTTTAACTTTTCTCTAAATATATATATATATATATATATACAGGCTGAAATTGATGGCAAACGTTTGGTTGAGGATATTATTAAAAATGTCTCAAGACCAATCGCTTTTGACGCTGTTATGCGAGTACGCAGTTCCGCTGGTATACGAGCGACCGATTTCTATGGTCACTTTTTTATGACGAACACCACAGATGTCGAGCTGGCTAGCATTGGTTAGTTAAGCGTCTTAATTTAATGTCCAGTGTAATTGAATTTTTTTTTTATCGTTTCCGCTTATACAGATTGTAATAAATCTATCGCCATTGAGATCAAACATGATGATAAATTGCCGCCGGAGGAAAATGTTTATTTGCAAATTGCTTTACTTTATACTTCCTGCAGTGGCCAAAGACGTTTACGTGTTTTTAATTTGGCTCTTAAAGCCACAACCACAATTGCCGACGTGTTTAAGAGTTGCGATTTGGACGCCATGATGTTGTTCTTTGCTAAACAAGCTTGCTTCAAACTTATGGAACTAACACCAAAAGTAGTGAAAGAAAATCTTATACATCGTTCAGCACAAATATTGGCTTGTTATCGTAAGCACTGCACCTCGCCAACTTCGGCAGGTCAACTGATATTACCTGAATGTTTAAAACTTTTACCGCTATACGTATCGTGCTTGCTAAAGAATGATGCGATTTCCGGTGGTTCAGACATGACCTTGGACGATCGCTCGTACGTTATACATTTTGTCTTATCAATGGATTTGAACACATCGGTCACTCATTTGTATCCACGCTTCATTCCAATACATAATGTTGATGCAGATGTTGATGACGGCGAGCTGCCTATGTCGATACGATGTACGCATGAGAAAATGACCGAAGATGGCGCATATGTTTTGGAGAATGGTGTACATTTCTTCGTATGGTTGGGTCAATCATTGTCGGCAAATTTCATTAAACCACTCTTCGGCGTTCAATGTACGCAACAAGTAAATGCTGAGCGTTTTGCCATATCTGGTGATACCCGAATGGCACAGAGGATACGCAACATTATCGAAAAAATCATGCTTGAGCGTACGCGTTATATGAGAGTAAGTTGAATTTAAGAGAGAAAAATTGTAAAATGACGATCATAACGTTCTTTTAATTTGAAGATCACTTGTGTACGTCAAAATGATAAACTTGAAAGTGTATTTCGACATTTTCTTATCGAAGATCGAGGCACGGACGGATCCGCCAGTTATGTGGACTTTCTATGTCATATGCATAAAGAAATTAAGGAACTTCTAAGTTAGCCCTTATATTGTTATAAGAATTATACAACATCTGCGGCTGGATCGATTACATGCCGCAGTTATTCGCAAAACCGTGCGCGTCTTTCACGTCTGGCACGTTCACGAAGATGGTAACCATTATTGTTTTATATTATACCATCAAGCATACATGCCTGCATGTCTAAATATACTTTAACATATATTTAGCGAATATCGTATTAAAAAAATCCAATCGCTCTTACAATTTATATTCCCTGCAAATAAAACAAAAGAAATTGCTAAAACTGTAAATGATTTGCAATACAGTCCCATGTCACATGGTATTCTTTAAAAAAAATAAAAAAAATAAGAGAAAATCCCCATTTCCCTAATTCCTCCTCGTTAGCTTTTCGAAACTTTCTGTATTCCTCTACTAACGCAAAGTATCTAAATATTCAAATACATTCAGTTATCTAGCTTTTATATAAGTTTATGTACATGGGTGCGAATTTTTTTGATTTTTTTCTCTAAAATTGCTATTAATTGCTGTAGTTACTTTTATTGGGACTTTCAAATTAAATCCATTTGCAACTGTGTTTTAGCAGATGATAAAATTTTTATCAATTATTTCATTATTGATGGTATCAGTTGCACATTCGAACATTTATACTATTATTAAACTTTTTATTTGAATAAAGGTTAAAGAAAACGAATGGATATATAAATATATAAATAAAACTTATAAAAAATTACTATATTGATTGTTTCCTATTTCGATTTGAACTTTTATTTTGTTTAAACAGACTCATCGGGATTTTTTATCGTTGTGTTCAAGCGATTTGCGATTATTTAAAACAGTTATATACAGATACAGATTCGTATGTGGCAATTTAATCTTTTTCAATTTTTGATCTTATAGGGCATGTAAGGATCCACAAATTGTCGATAATTTTTACACATCTGAGAGCGCTTTTATATATCGTGCGAACTGTAGTGGAATTAATTAAGCCATATTTCCTTAGTGTTTGTTGCGCTCAATACAACAGCGTCGAAGCAAATTTAATCATCAATAATTTCTCTTATTATTCATTAGCTAAATGAACCAACAAAAACCTAACTCAATTACTGGGAATGTCTAAGGATATGACTGTAGATTTTTTATTAAAGTAAGGTATCCTCTTTTTCGAAATTTATTTCCGAATAATTTAAATTAGTCCATGTTCTTAATGCTTTTTTCTTTGCTGATTGCATCCATGCACAGAATCGTATTTTGGAAACACAAGAAGCTTCAGGATAATGCGAACAAAACATTTGTGATAATTTTTGCATTCTTTAAAGATCTTGAATGACGAGTAAATAAAGTGCAGGCGAAATAAGCGTCAACTATGCTTAATTGCTTTTGCTAAATGCACTTTAGATAATCTATGCACCGTTTAAATTAGTTTTCATTTAAGTTCTGCTCCATAAATTCTATTATAGCATTGCGTCCTACAAAGATGATGTTGAACTAGAACTTTCAGAATATTGCAATGCTTTATGTACGCGTTCTTATGAAATAACTATACTGGCGAATATGTGTGTCATATAATTCATCTTACAGCTCTCAAAACGGGTTTACATGTAGCTAGCGGCATTCTAGGTACTGAACGATGAGCTCGTTGAAAAGGAATGTATACGGAATTCGTAACAGGGATTGCCACAAATTTCGCGATCTCAACACCATTCACAACTTTATAGTCGACAGTTCGAAGCGAAGCAAAGGGAAAAATACTTCAGATGATCAATCGGCTCTCTTGACACCATCGCCATCGTATGTTGAAGATCTGCATATCTGTTCATAAGCAGAATGTGCGCTTTAGCAAACACTTTCACGTCACCGTTTCATTAAAGAGAATTTTTGCTAAAATTGTATGAACACTATCAAAAACTATCTCTTCGACTGTGCAACGATTAGCTTTACAGTTAGGGTTTTTATATGACAAAATTTCCGCAACAACGTGACGAATTTCTCGTCTACGCATGATGCTACGCAATGAAATAAAGTAAATTAACATGAAAGTCTAAACTTTGCGAAGGTATTAATAAGGTATTAGGACTACCAAATTATTGTTAGGCAACGAATCGGATAATGTAACACATTTCATAGTACATTTCATATTTGTTCTGCAGACTGGTTGCGTCATAACCCATATCAGTATTTGTTTACAAATCAACAACGCCACCGCAAGAGTTTTATTTTTTTCTGCCAAACTATATTTATTCTTATATTTATATTTATTCTTAGCTTTCCGTTCTTTGCCCATATATATATTTATACATGTATATAATATATATTTATGTATATCTACTGTAGTGTATGTCGCAATTATTGTATTTGTTAAGTAATTTATATTTTCCAATTTCTTTCTTTATTTTTGTTGCTAAGTTTTCATCTGGCCAACTGAAAATAATAATAATAATTAATTTATGTCCTCGGACTTTACGTTGTAAAAAGACCTTTAAATAATCCTGAGTAAATTCAACATCCGAGCCGTTTGTAGCAAATAATTTCAACATTTGAAGCCCCAGATTGGTAAGCATACCCATAACGTGTAACCAGAATACCTGCAAAATGGAAAAAAAAAAACTAAAAATAAAAATCTTACTTAGTTATTCGTATGTCAGTGCTGACTAGTAATTTCTCTTCTCTTTCATCATGAGCGCTGGCCATAGCTGATTCGTGACCTTCATCTTCGGCTATGACTTCATTCCTGGGCTCTTTGTCCAATTGCGTTTTGGTAAATCGTTTTCATTTAATTCGATAACGCCCGGCTGCGATTCTAGAATTATGCCAAAAAGCTATACGACGTTTTAGTATTGAAGAGGGTATTTCCACGACAGTGCTTAAATCTTCCAAAGAGCTGGAATGTACTTCTATAATAATGTATATTTATACCAACTAACTTTTCAGGGAAAAGCGAGCAAGAAAAATTTGAGAGATCAAGAGATGTATTAAAATACTTACCAGAAAGATCGGGCGATTGTATCAATTTTTTTTAAGTCTGCATAGGAATCGCGTAGGTTATTCATAAAATATCAAAACGACCAATGTCCCGTTTAAGAAAAGTAAAATTTCAAAATATTTTTTCATCCTTGAAAGAAATGATATTAATTCCACCTTGGAAAAACTAACTACAAATAGAAACGCGACATATTATGGTGCTGTTTTTAAATTTATTGCTAATAATCAGAACCATTTTGTGCAATTTTTGCTTCAGATATCACGTTTTCTATTTTCGCTTTTGCGCGTTCTCTTTCATCTAATTCCCGTTTTTTCAAATCCAAGTTAATTTTTAGTGAAGCCAACTCCATTTTGTATTTTTCCATTTCTAATTTGTGTCTTTCTTCCATGTGCCTCATCTTGATATGGTGCTCCTGTTTAAGCATATTAATTTCTACTTCCGCTTTTTCTTGCAGCCATGTTGCTTTTACATACGCAACTTTTCTGCAGAAAGGTACAGATTGCGGTAAAATTTTTTTGATTTCCATATGAAATAATAAATTTATTTGATTAGAATTCGCTTTTCCCGAGTGCTACAGAACAAATTTTTTGGTGTACTTGAAGATTTCTACTTTCATATTAAACAAACCCAAAACTTTTGTATTTTAAATTTATTATCAACTTATTTTATATGTGTTACAATTTCCATCTTATTATGAATGCAGGGGTTGATATTTTATTCCTAGACGCTCTTTCCTTTCTCATATTTCTTTCAATTTTTGTAATTTACTTATGCTTGAAAAAAGTAAAACGAAATCAATTCTGCTTCTTTCAGGACAAGCAATTATTCATCCGAGTTTTTTAGGAAAAATAAACGAAACTATTGCCGCCTAAAACAAAGAATTTCAATATGCCGAGAACTTTTTCAAAATAAAACATTAAATTTAGTTAACAATCAAACTCTCTTTAGCAAAACTATTTGCGATGTATAAAAATATGCTAATATGTGCTGCTATATGTAATTAATACAACACAATTTATGCTCAAAAAAGAAATTCAATGTGGTTGTGCAAGAAGTATTCACAAAATGTAATGATCAGATTGGTTTTAAGGGAAACTGCCTTCAGTTGACAGGATAACGTTTTTAAATAGTTGATGCCCAGGTAATTGGTAGCTAACCGTTTCCGTGCTTGTTAAGCCTTGTTCGTCACTAACTGTCAGTTTGAAGACATAACGACTAGCTTAACGAAAGCTCGGATTATTAGAGGGATCTTGATTTCATAAACAAAATATCTACAATTGAACCACTTTAACCCATAAGTGATAGGAGGCGGTATTGTTACTGGTATCAGCTACAGTAAGCGCAAATTCACACAAGCCTTAAGTTAGACCCGTAGCATTGGCGACCTATGTACACAACGATTTTTCATAGCATTTTTCTTTCTGTATATGGAAAACGTACTGTTTCGTTAGACTTCAATGTAACCGCAGCATTAGGTCCTTGAACTTCTTCCCATTCATTGGATTTAAGACCGATATCATCGGCTGAAGATGAGCCATTTAGAACAATCCAATTAATTTGCAGATTTATAATCTGAGGGAATTGATATTAATCGTTTGCTTATTTAAAAGATTTATTGAATAGTTTCCATATTAGTTCCTGCAATTGCTGTGGGAGGAGAGTTGGTTTGTTGGCGGTTTTACAAAGACATGAACTTTTGCTGTGCTCGATTGTCCACTACCGTCGGTGACTTTTAAATCGAAAGTGTACATTCCTTCTTCCAAATTCGAAAGCTTCATTTGGCCATTCCAAAGAACAATGGTAAAAGAAGAGCCTTGAATGTCAGTTCACAAAAGACCAACCTGTACATATAGTGTCCTAGTATTTTGCATATCCACTGCTTTAGATTCATCACCCGCGTCTTTAATCCATTCCCAGGCCACAATTTCATGATCGTCTGAACTAGCCGTGCCATTAAGGGTAACATTGTTATTAGGTAAATAGAGAATGACGGCATCTCCAGCATTTGCAACTGGTGGGTAATCCGTTCTGTTATGCTTCGCCTTTAATTACCGGTAAAGAATAACATATTCTAGAAGTTGCCTGATATCTTTGGCTTACGATTTAAATTTAAAAGCCAAGACAATGAGTATATGTTAAGCAACAATATTGATTCTGTAGCGACTGCCAGGCAGTAAGATAAACTTTTGTACGGTCAGTAATTAATTTCCTTGTCGTCTGCCAAAGAGGAATCATAGACTTTGAACAAAATTAGTAAATTTTGGGGAGAATTGAAGCTTTTCATTTTAAT